CTGTGATTCTATCACACTATGTTAAACCCTTATCAGAGAGTGTTGAGCATGGCCCAGAGCACTTTCGGATGTCTTGCCCAAATTAAACTACAGACTTGCAGTTATGGTCACAGCTACAACAACTGTGTGCTAAGGACAGCCTGTGAGCTCCCGAAAGAGGCAGCACTGTTGGTGTGGAAGCATCTTGCACTCTCCAGCTGGGTCAGCCCACTGTGCTGCAGCAGCTCAGCCCAGAGCACGGCCTGAGTTACCACTGAGCACTGCAGAGCTCCGAAACAGCACTCAGACACCATCTTAACAAGAGTTCTGCTGCAGGCATGAGGACCTTCAGGTTTTCCTCTGTGTATTTCAACAAAACACATTAATGCCACATGGTCTATCTTCAGTGGCATCAGCTCCTGCAGCCCTTCTCTTGCTGTACCTGCTACTGCCAGCCAACCCTGATTTAAACCATCAAAGCTGAGAGCTGGGAGGTCAAGAGAAACCCAGGGCCCTCGAAGCTAAAAGAAACTCAACCCAGCTAGCTGGGAGCTAGGCTCTTCAAAACCCACTGCTCTTCAGGAGGAATTCTGGAAGTAACCTCTTGCTGTGCTCAACCCGCAGCGTTCTGTGGGTACCACCCCAGCCCAGACTTGCGCGTGCAGTCTCTCCAGCTCTGGCAAAGGTTTTACAATGAGCAAGTTGAATAGTTTCTGTCTTTAACCACTTCCCTTTTAATGGAAAATTACCTCTTCAATTAAAAATAGCACCTTACTCAATGGTTTTCACCTCTTCTGAAGGTCTCCCTGGTTTGTTTTTTTTCCAGGGTCATAAAAAGAAAAAATGGTTTGTTTTTTTTTTCCAGGGTCATAAAAAGAAAAAAGAACATCAGAGTTTTCATAATTTTGGATTTTTGTTCCTTTCTCCCGCTTTTTTCCTTTCTCCTTTTCACAGTGAGGTACCGGACGATGAATCATGTCCCCGTGCGGGAGTTTTAACAAACCGTTTCATTTTTATCCTTCTTTCTTTCCTGTTGTCTCTCCCCCTTTCCCCCAGCCTTCCCCGAGTCGCCGAGCGGCAGCGTTGCAATCTGTCACGCAGACAGACGAAGCGCGGCTGCATCTCACCGCACTGTCTGCTGAGAGGGTCAGAGGGGGCAGATCACTTAACACTACACCTGTTTTATGAATAATAATACAGGCAGTTTTGCTGGGTTCCTGGGAGGATGTTTTCCCACCAGGATAAGCTCTGCGTAGTGAACAAATTCATGTCTTTAACTCGTTTGACTCTGGTTAGCTCAGTTGCGACGGGAAGCTCCAGCAGCACCGTTTGAGCAGGGGAAAGACCAGACAGACCTTTGAGGCAGCTTTTGTTAGTGTCTTGGGCTTTCCCTCTCCGCAAGTTTCACTTATGGAGGTATGAGATTATAAATTTGGGGTTGAAGAGTCTGTTTCCAGCAAGGAAAAAAAAAAAAAAAAGGATCCATGAAGCTTCAGAAGTATGAAAATTATCCATGCGCACACCAGGTTTGGGTCACCCCAAAATACTCCACCTAGACCAAAATGAAGCACTTCGGTTCTTCCTTCAGTGTCCAGGCTTGCTCAGAAAAGAAAAAAGGCACATTAAAAAGTCACTTCTTAAATTACTTCAAAAATCCAAAGTTCGGGAGTTTCTTTTTAAGATGGTGGAATTAAATGTTCCGGTTCAAAGCAGCAAGTTTCTCCAGGTCTTTCGGGAGCAAGAAGCAACAGTACCCGTTCTCTCTTGGCCAGAGGACCGTGCGCACCGGCACACGCAGCGGTATCCCAAGTGATGTTCCTGTTCCAATCTGGGCTACCCAAGAGTCTCAGGAGGCCAATTCGGGCAGCCCAAAGGGCCCCTCAGCCCCATCCCAAGCCAGACCTGCGACCGCAGCAAAAGAGGACACCGCTCTCCCAGCTCCCATCAGTGCCTGCCATTATTTTATTTGTTTTGTTGGCTTTTATCAAGAGTGAAAAAATAATTTAAAGCAATTATCTGTACAGGGGTGGGGGCAGGTTGGAGGATCTGTGACCCACCACAGCCAGGCCAGGGAGGGTTAGAGGGGGTTGATTTACAGATGTACAAAACCACAACAATCCCACCGAGGAGGAGCGGAAGGGACATCTCTTGGGGTCTCGTAGGCCCAGAGCAGAGGGGTGGGAGGCTGTGCAGGAGCATGGGGGGTGGGGCCAAGGTCTGGCCAGAGTGGAGCCAGCCCCTCAAGTGACCTGAAGGGGTGTCTCCAGCATCTCCATGAGGAAGGTGTCGATGGGGGTGTCCCCAATCAGCTTGAAGAAGAAGAGGTGCTCCAGGCACTTCAGCCCGATGGACCGCAGCGCTGGCAGGGGCCGGGGGGGGTTGGGCAAACCCGGAGGGGAGAAATGCAGGAGACACCGGCTACTCTCTCCTACGTGCTTCCAAGCCTGCACCAAACCTCAGGAGAGCAGAACTCAAATCCTCCCCCAAAACGCCTTGGAGAGTTCTCCATCTTAGATTGCCCTATGCTTTCAAAATAAGCATTTCTCAACACAGGTGTGGAGGGAACACATATCTTTTGAAAACAGAATTTAGCATTTTTAAAGCTTAAAAAAACCCCAACAAACAAGCAAACAAAAAAACCCAAACCAAGATACATCCAGATTTGCTCTCCAAGACTTGAACTGGTGATTTCCATCTCCATGGTGCCATTTAAATCCTTCTCAAAATATCTGTCAAAAATCTCAGGCCCCCAGAGAGGGTGCACAACCCCCCCTAGCAGCACCGCTGTCAGCCGCTGCCTCCTGTTTCGAGGCGCAGCTGCAAGGGGGTGCAGCAGGCAGCCTGTCTCCCATGTCCCACTTGCAGCCCCTCTGCGGTCACATGCAGAGCCAAAAATAGCAGAAGATGCTGAGGGGTTCGTCACTCGCCTGGTGATGATGAGGAAAGCTCATCATCCGCGTTTCGAGAGCTTGGCCAGTAGAGGGTAGGATTGGCTTGAAAAGCAAGAAAATTGCATCTCCTAGGTGCCTTGAAGGCTCCAGCCCAGGATTAGGGCACTGAGAGGGCTGGGCTGTCAGTTTTGGCTGGTGTCCTGCCCTTGCTTTGCTCCAGGGGCTCAGACAGAGGTAGCACAGACGCCCCTGCCTCCTTCTCCTCTTCCAGGGTGCTGCACTAAGGTGCCTGCCTCGCCTGGGGACACTCACCGCCCTGGCTGCTCGGGGTACTTTTGCTTCGTGTAGGCTTCCAGCGTGGCATAGACCTTCTCCCGCAGCGATTCCACTTCTGAGGGGCTGGACAAACCCTTAGCATCTGGATAAAAGGAGAGAGTAGGGAAGGAATCACTGCAGAGGAGAGTTTTCCATTGCCAGCAAGGTGACTGTGTGCGTGGTGGGAAAGAATCGGGCTCTAATCGTGCACCCAGAGACTGGGACAAATCTGTCTGCAGGCCTGATGCTGAGAGTCACAGCCCTCCTGCCTGTGACCCACTGAGGGGATGTGTGTGTCACCTGGGGCTGCCCCAGGTCTCAGACTCACCTGGGTTGAACAGGACAATGGCTCGCAGGCATCCCAGCTCCGACTTATCCATCTGCATGTCTTTCATTTTGGACACCAGCTCTGTCAAAACCCTGTGTGGGGGGGGACATGGGCGGGAAGGCGATCAGAGACAGGTATGGAAAGCAAGGCTGGGGGCTGAACAGCATCTGGGACAGGCACTGGGAATACACCCAATTCCTCGCTGCAGGAAGAGGCAGCCTTGAGGGATCACACACTGCTCTTCCACAGGTGCATCAGCAGCATTCATAGACCCGAGCATCTAATTCACTCCTGTTCTCACGTTGCTCAGCACACGCCCTCTGTGCTCTGTTCGGGCTACGGAGAACGACGTGCATTCACTTGGGGTAAACCGCAGGGGTTTTTGTCAGGATTTCACTGTGCAACACACAGGCACTGCCCTTACCACCCTTACACAACTGGCAGGTGTAATGCAGAGCCCTGCCAGGCAGGGAGCAGGCATGGCATGGACAGCATGTGTGGAGAGCAAGCTGGGCTCTAAGGCTTTGCCAGCCAAAGCTCTCACCGATCAGTATTACCTCCAGATCCAGTTGTGGCAAACTTGAGAGAAGGCAGAGAAGCATTCCTTCCCCTGCATATCCAACCAAAACATCTTCTGCAGCTGCAACTCGCTTTCCAAGGTGCTTTCACCCCATTCTTGCTTTTTAAGCCAGTCAGGTGTCCCCTTCCTCATCATAAGCTAGTTCTGCCCCGAATCGCCATGGGTTTGGTCTCACTCTCACTAAGGACATGTTTCCCATTCAGAGAGGAAAGACTGGGCACTGCTGCTAGGGGATGACAGAAACTGGCCACGTACCTGTCGAAGATGGAGCCCACACCAGCACTGTGAGCACTGCTGCGGTGCACGTGCAAGCCCGTGGCCAGAAGGATGCCGTCTTGCACTGACACGGAGCGGTGGGAGAAAGAGGCAATGAGCAGCTCGTTCCAGCCTGCAAGAGGAGGTGTGCAGGACGCAAGAGGCAGTTTAGCAAAAAGAAAAAAAGTCATGCAGCAGAGAGCTGGTTTCTTTCCGCTGGCTTCTGCCTTGGCTCAAAGGAAAAATGGGACCTCAGGTAACAACTGCACCCTGGCGAACACTGCAAGGGGTGTCAAACCCTGAACAGCAGCAAGGAAGGTGCAGAAAAAGACTCAAAAGGGGAAAAAAATAAGAAAAAAGAAAATACGGGTGTTTAGGAGGACAAACCAGCATATTCATTGCATCAGCAACCCCTTTACATCATTTTGCTTGTTACACATTAATGATCTTTGTGGGGCACAAGTTCTGCAGTTATAGAAATTGCATTAACAAGAGACACTTATTCATGTTCCCCAGCCCTCCTACATGTCTGCATGAGGAGGGGAACAAGCAGCAGATTCCACTGCCATATCCACAGCCTTTGCCAACCGTTCATCATGGCTCAGGATGGGTTGCTCGCCCTGTGACAGCAGGGACAGATCAGCTCAGGATCTCCCATCCACCATGCAGCCTGGCTGGCATGGCACATAGCCCAGAGAAGGGATGGGGTACCAGGAATAACCCCAAAGCAGGGGACACTACCTGCTCGCAGGAGAATGACTTGGTCTTCCAGCGTCAGGTCGGAGAAGTGTGGGATTCGCTTGGCCCACTCGACGAGCGTGAAGAGCTGCTTGTCAGCCGCATGGCATATGTTGGTGACAGGGTCATTTGTCTAATTAAGAGAGATATCAAAAAGGAAGAGAGCAGAGGACAAGAGGATAATGTGTCGATGTAAAATCTTTGATCACCCACTGCCTGCACTGCGCACAGTATCAGGTCAAGTTAACGATCCTCAGAGCCACAAATAAAACTATCAAATTGCCAATAATCCCAGCTGTGTGCTGTGGGGAGGAGAAGATATTTATTACCACTATTCCCTCTACAACCAGCCAAATTAGCTGGTTGCTAGACTTCTCTGTTTGCTTGCTGTTCTGCATGGCAAAAGCTGCAGCCCTGCTCCCCAGGGCACATCTCAAAGCCACCAAGCAACCTCTGAATGGCCATGAACAGCAGTTTTATCCATTTCAGTAAGACCACAGCAGTAAACGTGCTGTGTTCAGCTCCATTCCAGTCTTGGTCACTGGGGCAGATGAGCAGTACCCATGGCTGTGCAACTGTGGAAGCCAGCACTGGGCTCAGACTCTCCAGCATCCAGCTCTTGCCCTATCTACTCGTCGTAACCCAAGGGAACTGGAAAAAAATGCTAGAAAATGGTGTTTAAGTTGTTTTCTAGTTGTTATTGAGCATAACTTCAAAAATGTTGGTGATTTTTAGGTGGTGTGAAGCAAAAGCCCCTTGCAAAAACACTAGCCGTTCACATGGGATTTGTCTTTTCAACCCACAGCTCGAAGGCTCCCATCTCAAGCTGCGAGTGATTTTAGTGCCCCTTACCGAGCTCTCTGTGTTCATGTCGCTGTACGCCTCCGTCTTGGGTTCGACTGCCAGCTCAGCTTCCAGGATCCTCTCCACGGGCATGTCCTCACTGCCACTGCTTGTGGATTCAGCCTCGTTCTCACTCCTCTCCCTGCTCCTTTGCCTCTCCTCCTGCACAGCTGCAGGGACAGAAACATGGCTCTTTACACCCACAGCAACCCTTACCTGCTCACAGGAGGTCCCCTATCCTCTGGGATGGATGAGAAACTCCCTCAGGAAGGGGAAAACAGAAAATAACAGATATAACCTTATCCTGCCTGTATCCAGAGCAGTGTGGTCAGCAGGTCAAGGGAGAGGATTCTACCCCTCTACTCTGCTCTCCTGAGACCCCACCTGCAGTTCTGCATCCAGCTCTGGGCCCTCCAACATCAGAAGGATATAGACTGGTTGGAGCGAGTCCAGAGGAGACCACGAAGATGCTCCGAGGGCTGGAGCACCTCTGCTATGGGGACAGGCTGAGAGAGTTGGGCTTGTTCAGCCTGGAGAAGAGAAGGCTCCAGGGAGACCTTATAGAACCTTCCAGTGCCTGG